CGCGGATCGTCCAGGAGGCCTCCACGCTGGCCCCATTACAACCCATAGGCACCCAAGACGGCCCCAAGAGAGCCCCACGACGACCCAATAGCCCTCCAACACTTCCAAGATAACTTCCAAGACGGCCCCGAAGCGCCCTACGAGGGCCCCCGATCGGCACCGCAAAGCTCCCAACACAGCTTCCGACGGCGTCAGACGGGCCAGGAACCCCATAAAACGGCACAGGGACCCCCCCCAAAAAACCCAAAAGACCCCAAGAGGCCCGAGAAGGCTCCCAACACCGCCCCACGAGGCCCCCGACAAACTCCCTGGAAGCCTCAAGAATGCCACAAGATTCTCCCACAGGGCCTCCGCGTAATATTCTCCGCCCCAACCTCTTCTTCCTCCTTTTCCTCCCCCCTCTCCTCATTCCCCCTCAACTGACCACGCAAAACCCCATGCACGACCCGACACCACCTTTCCCAACCCCACTACACCCCGCAGAACCCCGCAGAATCTCACAAAAGAACACCGAATGTCGCACGACCCCCACGCACGAACCCACAGAGCCCCACAGGACCAGACGGGACCCCACGGGACCTCACATCACCCGAAGTGCCCCGCATAACCTCTCGACCACACAGGGCCCCACGAGACCCCAGAACAACTCGCAGGACCCCACGAGACCAGGCAGGACCGCAGCCACCCCAGCGACACCCACAGGACACCGCAGGACTTCAGAAGACCCCACGAGGCCTTCAGAGACCCCACGAGCCTCCAAGGAACCGCACGGGACGCCGCGAGACCCTACCAGACACCAGGCGACCAAGCAGGTGCCCCCGGGACCAAGCAGGACCACGCAAGACCCCGCAGACCTCACAGGACCTGCTTCCTCCCCCTCCTCCTGCATCCTGCAGCCTCATCCTTCTCATCTTGCTTCCCATGCCTGCCGTCTGTTCCTCCTCCTCCGCACCCTCCGCCTCCTCCTGCCATCTGTTCCTCCCCCTCCTCCTCCCTCTTCTACTCCTCCGCCTCGTCACCACCACCCTCATCCTGGGATCTTCCACCTCCTTCTGCCCCCTCCTCCCCCTCCTGCGTGCTCTCCTGCAACACAGTTCTGAGCATGTAGTTATCCTCGGCCTTTGCTGTGCGATTCATGCCGCAGGTCTGTCTTGCGCATTTCGAACGTTATTCAAGTGGTTCCCGCCAGTCCGCCGACTCCCCGAATGAGTGGCAGCCTGTTACGATCTCGGAAGATATGTGGTGGCCACCAGCCCCGCCCGCCATCGTGCCTGGGTTGTGGGCCAGTAGCACGTTCGATGCCTCTACGGGCTCTTCAGATCCATCTCGGAGCCCTCTTGGGGGCATTTGGGGAACTCCGGAAAAACCCCCTCGAGCTTCCCGGAGGCCTCTTCGACCATTCTTGGGGTCCTCCGGGGCGCCTCGGGAGTTTCCGGAGAGCCTCGACCCTATCTTGGGAGCGGCTAGAAGTCTCAAGTCGTCTTCCCCTTCTTCAACCCCTCTAGGGGATTCGTTGGGCCGCCTTGGAGTCCTTCGACCATCTTGACGCCCTCTTCGCTCCTCCTGGAGTTCTCTGGGGTCCACAGGCCGTTTTCGTCTCATCTCAGAGTCTTCCGGGCCGGTTCAGACGATGTCCAACTGGAGGCGCGCGATCACCCTGCCAATGTGTCCGGATCAAGCGAATGATCCTTCGGATTTCTCGGCGCTCTTATGGGACAATTCTTGGGTAGTCTCAGAAGCATATTGAGCCGCATTGCCGCGATCTGCGACCCCCTCAAGCTACTTTCAGCCGCCTCGACTTTGTGTTGGATTTGCTCGGCGTTTTTTCTTGGCCCTTTTGAGCCGTCTTGGGTCCCCTGGCCCCGGAAGGTACATTGGGGACCTCGTCGACGCACTTCTCCTCCGCCCCCGAACGCAGTTCTGGGCCCCAGGGAGGAGGTAAGAGAGTGAAGGAAGAAGCCAATAATCTAAGACGCGCCCCCCCTCTGCTATGCGGGCGTCGGCGGGTCTTGCACATTTTGAGTGTTACTCCGGAGTCATCTAGGTCGAGCGCGCTAGCCGCCGCTTGCAACCATCGCTTCGCGCATTTCGACTTGCTTCTCCATCAAACTCTCCGCGCAAGCCGTCCTCCACCCCACCACCCTGAGTATGGCACCCCAGAGGGCTCCTGAGAACCCCCGAAAAAAAAAAAAAACTGCACTCGCTCGCAGGACCTCGCAATATCTCACAAGGCGACAAAGCGCAAGAAATCCAAACGGAAACGGCACGACCCCACGGGTCCTCACGGAACTCTGTAAGGCCCCTCAGGACCCTACAGAACTCAATCGGCCCCCACAGGACCCTTCCAATCCCACCAGACCCCAGACGACATCACCCGACTTCCCCGACCCACACGACCCTTCCGTAAACCATCCGAAGCCGCAGGATCGCACAGGACATCACAGGGCCCCAGAGCACCACACCAGATGCCTAGAGACCCCAATAGACCTCACAGAACCCTCGGACCCCCCCCCCCCGACGCCACAGGAGTTGCAAGACCTCTTCCCGGTGAAAAATGTTGTCCTGCGGTGGCCGCGCCGTCGC